ACAGCTGTCTCAAAAAATAAAAATAAAAAAATCCCCAAGGAGAGGGCTGTATCTGGGCCCAAGGCCTGCTGCTTGTTCATGTTTGAAACCACAGGTGTGAACACTTCCCTCAATGTTAAGAGTGGAAAATGGGGCGGCACCTGTGGCTCAGTGAGTAGGGCACTGGCCCCATATACCGAGGGTGGCGGGTTCAGGCTCAGCCAAACTGCCACAAAAAAATAGCTGTGCATTGTGGTGGGTGCCTGTAGTCCCAACTATTCAGGAGGCTGAGGCAAGAGAATCGCCTAAGTCCAGGAGTTGGAGGTTGCTGTGAGCTGTGTGTCACGGCACTCTACCAAAGGCAATAAAGTGAGGCTCTGTCTCTAAAAAAAAAAAAAAGAGTGGAAAATGGCTCGACCATGGAGGTGGGGAGGGGGCAGGGAGAATATCAGGAGGAATGGGAGGTAGGGAAGGGGCTCAAAGTGTAGACAGAGCACCTGACAGAGCACCTCAGACAGGGTGCTCTGTTCCCTCTGCACCCACCTCTGTTCCCCTGGGTCCAGGAAAGGGGTATCTGTGGGGAGGGGGTTGCAGGAACAGAGAAGGGCTGTGATAGTGCAGAATACTGAGTGCCAAAAGGGCACTTGGCAGAGCTACCTGCCTGCCCCTCCCTGTTTTGGGGCCTGGAGTCTAAGAGTCATGGTTCCCTGAAAGTAGTACTACTACTGCTGCTGCAGCTGCTGCTACGGCTACTAAGTGCATGAACTTAGGATTGGGAGGCAGTGAGGGGATGGAGAAAACGTTTAGAAGCCTGTGAAAGGGGGGAGCTGGCTGGGTTCGAACCAGCCTGGGCCTACTAAACAAAAAAACAAAATAGCCAGGCATTGTGGTGGGCACCTGTAGTCCTATCTACTAGGGAAGTTGAGGCAAGAGAATCGCTTGAGCTCAAAAGTTTGAGTTGCTGTGAGCTATTACGCCATAGCACTCTACCAAGGGTGACAAAGTGAGACTCTGTCTCAATTAAAAAAAAAAAAGCCTATGAAAGAGGCTTTCTCTTTTCTGCCATCTCCAAATCTCTTACCAAAAAAATGCCTCCTTAAAACATGACAGTACAATTTTATGAGAAATAGAACGATTCTAAGTAATGGGCGGGCATCAATAGCGCCCCCATTTTACAGATGAAGACGCTGAGTGTTGGGAGAATTAAGACCCAGTCACTCCCCCAAGATCACCATTCAGCAGAGGCGAATCCTGACCCCGCCGGGTTCCGGGAGTTCCGAGTTAGGCGCTGATACAGCTTCCCCATCCGCGGCGTGGCCTGGCCTTACCTGCACCGCTGAGTGCTCTGCTCGGAGTTCCTGGGAGTGCAGGCGCCACCGCGCTGTGTGGTACAGTCCCAGGGCACCCCCCAGGGCCAGCGCCGCAGCCCCCAGCAGCCGCGGGCTCCCATTACGGGCAGCGACGGCGGGGCCTGGGCCGCCCGCCGATCCTGCAAAGCCAGCCTGGCTCTGCGTGGGGAACAGTGGCCGTGGGAGGCCGCCTAGCCTCCAGGCAAGGGTGCACCGGCCCTGCCACAGGGCCCGCACCGCCCGCGCCGCCAGGGCCATTTTCGCTCTGCCGGCGCCGCGGGCGGGCGCGCAAAACGAAGACAGCCGAGTCTCAGAGCCCTTAAAGGGCCGGGTCCTCGCCACAAGGCTGTTACCCGGGGTAACGGAGATGCCGCCAGGAACAGGCAGCCTCTTCGAGACAAGGCCGTGCGTCTGGCACCCAGGTTCCAAACACCCGTCAGAGCTGCAGAAGCACACCCGGGACGCTTGGGAGTCTCTCACGCCTCCACCTCTGAAGGTGTCTGTGTATCGAGAATCAGAGGTGACCCAGCCGAGCGCCGCAGTGTCCGCCTGCTGGTCCCTTACTTGGCGGCGTGGCCCCTGAGCGGTTGGCTGTCTGTAATACATGCTTAGCCTTTCCTGCTTCAGGCACCCATTCAGAAGAAATTAAACCTTTCCGAGTATCAGGGGAAGGGTCGGACTTCCAGCCCCTGAAGGCCGTAGAAACGGTAGGGTGGTGGTCGCGACTCCCGTCTCTTTCTGCCCTCCCGTTCTACTGCACGTTCCTCCTGTAACACGAACCATAAAATTTTCCGGAACCCAGAGGGGTCCTTGGAAACCAGGTGTCTCGGATTTCGCTCACGGGGAGCTGTCCACCCGACGGTCCCCAGGGACAGTCAGAATAGAGTAAGGTGACAGGCTGCCTTACTCCTCTGCGGGGCACTCTCGCCCTACCAAGCCCCACCACCTGTCCTCCGCCGGCAGCCCTGGGGCAGCCCCAGACGCCGCCGAGAAAGGGGCGGGACTCAATGAGTGGGCGGAGACCTGGGGAGGGTAGTGGGATGCGGGGCTCAAGCTTGGGCTCTGGTTCCCGTGCTTCGCAGAGCTCGGCTGCAGCTTCCTCCTTTTTGGCCCAGATTTCACTCTACTGCCTTCACTTTCCGTGCTGCCCTTGCGGCCCCCAAGCCCTCTATATGGGCCCCCAACTGGAACCTGGGCATGCCGTTGGAGGCGGAAATGGAAGGCGAGAACGATGGCTTCCGGGAAGCAGGTGACCCAAGGGTGCTGCTGAAGTGACCTTTGCTTTCCCAGGGTTGACCTCATAGGAAGGGGAATGGGGGAGGCCTGGGGGCTTGGAAGAGACCGAAGACTCCTCCCAGAGCAGCCCCTCCGGAATCCCGACGTACAGGTGCTCTCTCGGATGCAGTGCACCTGCTAGCTGCACACCTGTGAGTCGAGAGCGTTGTGAGGAGCCGGCCCTGTTTTACAGCTATGACCAGCTTACACAGTGCCCAGTTGGGCTCGGCGCCTATGGCTCAAGTGGCTAAGGCGCCAGCCAAATACACCTAAGGTGGCAGGTTCGAATACAGCCCGGGCCCGCCAAACAACCGGCTGCAACCAAAAAAATAGCCGGGCGTTGTGGCGGGCACCTGTGGTCCCAGCTACTTGGGAGGCTGAGGCAGGAGAGTCGCTTGAGCCCAGGAGTTGGAGGTTGCTGTGAGCTGTGATGC